CCTGTGGTAGAATATGGGAGGAGGTATGGATGACAGAATTTCTACTACTTCAAAATTTCTTTATAGTAGGTGGGCTTAAGGCTTTTTTGTTATTTTGTCTTTTACCACCTTCTCACCTGTCTTAGTGGCAGCACTTACAAGTGTGTACCACCTAATGAAACCGAAGTATTGTGAATCATACTGCTTTCAAAGTAGGGGCAATTAAGATATGTTACCAACGTTAAGATGAATGCTCTATCACAGGAGAGGGGGCCTTACCATAATGTTCAGAATGGAGGAAGGATGGCTGTGCTCTTTCTTCCTGGAGCTGAGTGATGAAGTGCTACAAACCCTATTTATTGTGGAGGAGAAGAAATCCTGTTTCACTTGTTTTGTTTTGTTTTTTTTTTGCATAAATCCCAATTTTTGTTGTGGGCTTTTGTAGCATACATGTGCAAGTCAAGAGGGGATGGGTGGGTGAATAAAAGAGATGATCCTCTCTGTTTTATTCTAGAGAATCAACTTTGAAATAGGCATAGCATGTTCAATTCTTACTTCCTCTAAGTGCAAATTTATTTTCCTCACTTCTCTGTCTCTTAATGAATATTTCCCCAGGTCTGCAAGTAGTGTTAAGTAGAGATTTTCCACCTCATAAGATGCCATGCTTTTTATTCAGAATTGTTACCCATTTGAGAGAGAAATAGATTTCCTTCTGCAGGTTTCATTTTGTTTCAATGCTATATATCAAAGTCCTCAGTGCTCTAACTACCTCTGATAACTATGAATGTACAGTCTTGTAATAGACCATGACTTGAAATAACAGCAGATGCCTGTAGCAAACTTTTCTGTAAAATCTTTGTCAGCTAACTTGTCATCTTTATTTGTAATGCAGCAGTATAGGCTTTTCTTTTTTGGAGTATTACTAAAGTTATCCCATAGGCATTTGATATATAAAAGTTTAACTAATACTTAACACTGGAATTATAATGGGCAGGGGGATTATTCAGTTAGTTAATACTGCAAATTTACATTTATTAGGGTATTTTTTGACTATTTTTAAGACATTAGATCAACTGTAAAAAGATCCACTACATGCTGTCTGTTTTTAATTTATTACTTAGTCTGAGTTTTTTTCTTACACTACAGCTTCACCATGACTACAGAAAATGTACACTGAACAGTTTCAATGTATTATTTAAAAGGGCTTTAGCGGTGTACATTAAAAATACACTGTTCTTACTATTAGAACCAAAATGTGTTTTTTATGGCATAAAGAAAAATGGTGCTCCTAAATGCAAAATGTCCAAAACAATGGAATCTTTGTGAGTGCTATGCATTCAATTTATTTTTAAAAAATAAACTAGTTTTGAGTAAGAAGACTACGTGGTGTATTATTTAAAAAACTGTTCCTAATCTGTCTTCCACCATCCCTGTGTAGGGGCTGGAGACGTAAAAACTTCTCTGCTCCCTCATGCCCCTACTTCTGTGATGCCATAATAACCTTCAGGAACACTGACTCTACCACAAAAATGGGGGGGGGAGGAAATCATGCAGGAAGGCACTGTAGAACTCAGTGCACCCACAGCAAATGCTCAACATTGTACATTTCAGCAGCCTTGTATCTAGTGCACGGCTCTAAAAACTATACTGAATTCATTCTATTCTCATTCAAAAAAAGTGATACATGTAATCCTTTCAACGCTAGAAATCAATAAGGACACCACTGGGCTTGTGGCAAAAGGCTATTACCATGAGCTCCCAGGCTATTATGATAGCCATGAGAGCAGAAGGTAATATAACTTTTAATTGATAATTAATTTATTAATACTGTACACACTTGAAACAAGACACAGACCTCCAGAAATTAAGTAGGCAACTCCATCTCATTCCTATAAAATTAGGAAGTTAGGTAGCATATATACTACATCAGTGCTTCAATCCACAAAGTTTTGTCCTTAACCTTAAAATGGCAAAAATATATTCTATCTAGATCTTTTTTCCTTGAAATCTCAATTTTTCTCCATGCAATTACAAAACAGTAACTACCACCTGACCTTTATAAAGCTCTAACAACTCTAAGGACTGCTAGCTACATTTTGCTTATTTTTTTCAGGAGATTCTAAATAGCAGTTCTGGGGATTTGTTTATACATAAAATTAAGTTTTGTCTTTGCTTCCCGTGATCCAGATTCATTATCTGCATCAAATAGTCCTCCTTCCTGAATTAAATTTTGCATTGCTGGCAGAAGTTGATGTTTTCATTAAAGTTTTGGTGACTAGCACATCCCCCAGAAATAGTTGTTTTACAACTGTAACACCACTGTCAAGTATGTATAAGCCAGAAAGTAATGTGGCATCCTTCCTCAATAATTTCTTAGTTCTACATTCTGAATGCTCAGAGGAGCATTAGCTTCTTGAGCTGATAAGGCCTTATCTGACCGGACACAAGAGCCCAGTTAGCAGTCTTCTCTTTCAATCAGCAGCAGCATTTTTTTTAAACATCAAGTTAAGGAGCAATAACAAAATATTGCTATTTTTAATTTCTATTCCAGTGATATTTTAGGAGGCACAGCCCAAGCACATACACTTGGCTAGTTTACATTTACACATTTTGATCTTTCCCTGCAATTAGATGTATACAACTTCAATAAACAAGACATATATTCTGACAAGGAAAGCCACTTGCCACTACACATCAAAAAAAAATTTCCTCTGCTTACAACTGAATAATTACAAACTATCTGTATAGATATCTATATAGAAAATAGCTCCAGGTTTTAAAAATTCTCATTGCAACAATAGATGCAGACTCCTGCCCCCAGCCCTCCTACCAAGAGAAAGGAGGCTTAAGCAAGACTTACAGGTACTGAAACTGCAAGCTTGAGATTCAGTATGAGTACTCATACATAACGGTTGTATTTACCATGCAAGTTGATTGCATCATTATTTTATGTGCTAGCTAGTACATGCTTTCTACAGTTGTTTGAAAATGCTGCTTCCTGTTCTTGAAACACCTGAATTTACTCTCCTGAAACAGCAAGATAACACTTTCATAGAACAACCTGTTAAAGCTCTCATGAAAGTAAAGATGCATTTTCTATATTCTACAAATCATTTAAACGACCACTCTCAGCACTGACTGTACGTTCTGTAGGAAAATTGTAACCTTGTAATTAATTACCATAACCAGTAATTAATTACAAGAAGATTAACAGCCATTAGAATGCCAATTTATAGTATAATCATAGAAAAGACCAGGTTGGAAAGGACCTCAGATATCACTGGGTCCAGCCATTCACAGTAAAAGCAGGACCTAGACAAGACTGTCCAACATCTTATCTAGACAAACCCTGAAAGTCTGAAGTGGTGGAGAGTCAGTGGAAAACGTACAGTTCTAACCTTCCTACAATAAAGTTTAACAACATATAACCCTGACTTATTTCTTGTGGTACTGAAAAGACACATTGCACGGTGACTACAGCCCATCAGACCAGTCTTTGAAGACTTGTCCTCCTTTCAGTTCAACCTCCAGATCCTCAGATTTATTAACGGAACTCCACTAGAGTAGAGGGCAAACTGTGAGTCTGCCTGTGGTCAGCACAGCATAGTGGAAGCTTTTGCTGGATGGTGTTCTACTTCAACTTTTTTTTTTTTTTTTTTTACACAAAGGTCATCCATACGCACATTTGGATTTCAACCCCTTACCAATTCTGTTGCTTAGAAGAGAGCTTTGTAGGCTCCTTTGTTTTTATAACAGCAACTATGGCAATGTTTTGTTAAGTGTAACTGCTGAAACTGTACATTTAGATGCATACATCTTGCAGAAGGGTAAACAGTACTCTGGATGGCCTCTTTGCAGACCTTGGGAGATACAGAATTTCTTCAGAAATGCCACAGAGACAGTTTCCAGGGAAAGCGCCCATATCATGGAGAGTGGCTCCATGCTTCTGGTACTGCATTACCTCTTGGTGCTCACATCATATATTAATGCATGTTCACTGTGCAGCAATAAGAACAATCATCTGTAAAGACTTGGCTGTTCCATACCCTTCTAGCAAAGATTATGAATACCAAGAAGACTATCTTCATCGACAGATGAAGAAGTGGGTGTGTATCCACACATCCAAAAGATTGTCCAATGACAGATGTGAAAATAGGATAAGATCCTACTGGGCAACAGGTTCTCTACTAGGAAAGAAGTCCTTATCAGACTTCTGTACCTGGCTTCAGGGATGTTTTGTTTAGAGCCATAATCTCAACACTGAGATCACTGTAAATCAGTTCTAGGAATCTCACGTTAAGTCTCCTAAGACTCAGGAGAACTAGTTGGTAAAAAGGTAACAAGCATGCAACACTACTACGAGGACAGACCACAAAGGCTAAAGATACATCAAGATTTTTTTTTCACTTCTTGGATCAACCACATTGCCGGAGCACAGAGGTAGCATAGAGGAACTTTCATTGCCACTTGCTCTGTTTTGTTTGTTTCTGTAAGCCATTCCCTGCTTATATATTCCTGTTTATATTTTAGTACATTGATTTGTTTATATTTAATGGGAAGCCATCCTATCTCCCTATTGATTTCACCTTGCTTTCTCACATTCTCCCCATTGATTAGCAGCCAGCGTTCTGGAAGGGACAAAATATATTGAACTGCTTGCATTCTATTACCTTGCAATATAGCCCCGGTAAGAGACTCCAAAAAAAATAGCATTTTCCAGAGCTGGTAAAAATAGCATATTCCCCCATATAGTGATACAAAATAGGTATCAGCAAGGATATACATTTCAAGTGAAAAAAAAATATATATTTTTTAAGCTTTCTCACATAGTTGCAGTAAGAATATAAAACATATTAATTTAAAGTTGTGCTTCCTTCTGCAACCTTCTATAAACTATTCTGTGTTCATTCTATTCTGTGTTCTATAATCAATTGAAAAAGGTCTTTCATATGTCAAAAGAAGAGTTACAGCACAAATTATAGCTTTTTCAGATATACTGGTATGCTAGTAGAAAAACAGGATTAAACACAAACTTCCATAAGTATTTAATTTTACATTACATACACTTGCAGTGACTGCAGTGGCAAACTGTAAAAAAAAATAATGGTATGGCTTAAACAAGAAACTAGTAGGAGCAAACAGCAGAAGGCTGTAAAATAACATGACAGAAGGGATCAAATTAGTATTTATTCATCTCTCCATTATTAAAAAGGAAAAACAAGGAACATTTAGTGGAACCAAAAGGTAATATATTTAAATACAAAATTAACTACAACAAATTATCAGAGCTTTCAGCAAAGGCAAAAGTTTAGCAGGATTTTCAAGAGATTAAGCATTTACTTAGATAATGAAATCATTCAGGATTTAAGCCAATATTAGCAGAGGTAAAAAAGAAATGCCTCTTAATGCAAATCAGCCAATAAAAAGATTTTTTCTACCTTCCACTTAGCAAATGGGTCTGACTAAATGCAGAAAACAAAGGACTTTTCTAGATTTGACACAGTAAAGCAGTTACTTTTAATTTTTTTTTTTTTTTTTGGTGACACAGACATATACTTGATTCTGTTAAGCACTTCATGTGCTGTATGTTTTTGTTAGGTAAATAGGAAAAAAATCTTATTTTGTGTCAGTAGTTCATAACTCATTATTAATGTTTGTGTCAGTTGTTTATATCAGCGGTTGATAACACAGGCTTCATTTCCATTTGAATTTACTGTATGATTCAGGAGTCCACACCTTTTTTTCCTGACTCTCAGGGCAACAGTAAAGAAAAATATATGTGCTGTCAGGAGGCTCTCCAGAAAGTCACCATAAAAATGGACTACAAAAAGCTAGTAATTCCTAAATTACACCCATCTTCAGTATAAAAGTTCAGTAACTTAGAAATTCACCACTGATATCGGCATAAAGTACAATGAAAATACTTAATGTATTACAAAAATGTCTCTAATTTATGAATCTAAGGAATATAAAAGATTCAAAAAGTTGCAAGAATCTAACATTATAAAGACAGACTGAAGAAACTCAATTTAACTTCATAAAGAACTGTTACCAACAGTGTCTGCACAAGAACATAACTAAAATAGGGTCTTAAACAAGCAGATATGGGCATTAAAAACAACAATTCCAGGAAGCTGAATCTCGATAAATTTAAACTGGATATACATAGCAGAAACAAAGCACAGAGTAAATAATTATTGGAACAACTCCTGTAGGGTTGTGATACATATTCCATCATGATACCTCATTTTTAAAATGACTTTATCTGAAAGATATATATATTTTATATATACATATTTTATGAAGGAAGAGACAAGTTCATATCTGATGGCTTATTAAAAGATAGTCAACCCAGATTTTCAACACCAAAAGTATTTACACAAGGTCAGGTTTCTTTGTAAACTTCTAATAGCAGCTGAGAAGCTGAATACTAAGAAGAACCCAGATTTTTTCCTAAACCAGAACTACTTAAATGGAATAAAGTCAGTACTTCCATAGTGGGTGCTACTGCCTATGCTGACTCTTGCTCTGCCTCAGAATTTCATCTTTCACAACAAATTTTGAGAGTTCAGCATGAGGACTCACAACGTTTCATATAGTCTGATCCATAAATAATATGTGAGATAAGTCTTCTAGTCTACAAAAATCAGCATACCATATGCAGTTTTTAATATAAATCTTACCTTTTAACTGCACTGTAAAGTTTTATCCTATAGCTTCACTTTGAGGACAAAAGAAGGAGAAAACAGCTTTATTTTGTTTAAACTATGATAATATCTAGCCCTAATACCTTTGAGTAAAATTTCAAAAGGCAGAATAAGTTCTTAAAGAATTTGGATCACATCATTTATAGATACGAAATAGCTAGCGTCAGTTCAAACAGCTTTCAAAATTATACCTTTGGGTGCCTTTAGTTAGCTCATATGAAAATCTCCCTCTTCATTAACAGCAGACTTTTACTATTGGGGTGCAAAACAAGGACTAAAGCTCTTATTGTAAATCCACAGCCTAGGCACAGGTGACTCAAGACCTAATGAAGTAATACCACCTGAGTAGCTTGGAAAATTTGACTCATACATGACTGAACTGGAATTTAAAAGATTTGGATTTTAAGTTACGTTATTTGCTTTTCCTTATTTGGGCTTAGAAAACTGAGGGCTGATCAAACTGGAATTCCACCTGAGTCCTGCTTAAGCCTGTGATGTAGGCTGAGGGTTGAAGGCAGGTCAGAGAAAAGTTCAGTGAGCATTTTGAACTGAGATCTCCCATCATTCTAAGGTCACATTTCAGCTTCAATCAAACTATCAAGTCTGTGGATTAAAGAGAAAAAAGTAGCACAAAACTTAAGAAACAACTGATTATAGAAGACACCAAATGTCTCCCCCCCGCCCAAAAAAAAAAAAAAAAAAAAAAAGGGCAGGCAATGTGAGAGTCAAGCTTTCTAGGAGGTGCACTGCTCATTGCCCTCTCTGACTGTACCCAAAATCCAGAAGACATACAGGGAACCAAAGGATTCACTCCAGCGAAGTTACTCTGCTTGTAAATGTGAGCAGACAGGCAATGAGAAGAAGGATCCAGAACTGTCAGAATCCCTCTTCCCCCTCACTGAGTTTCTTCTTCCTGCTGGTATGGATGGTGAGAGCCAGGAGGACTGCAACTTGGTAGGGCCTCAGAGGAGGAAGGATTAAATGAAGAAGCATAGGAAGAAGTACATCCAGAAACTCAGAAGAAGGTTCAGAAGGAGCCATAAATGGGACCACTATGTGGTGCACTCAGTGAAAACATGCACTGGGGTCTCTGTCTCACCCACAAAACAGGGCAAGAAACAGGGAGCCCCAGGATCAGTGCCAGGAGTATGTTGTATTCAGCACTCCATATGTTACCATAAAAAAGAAAAAAAATCCAACTGTTTCTTTTTGGAGCCAGAAAATAGCAAGTGAGGTTGATCTGTCTCGACTGGTTGCAACAACCAGCTTCAAAACAATTCCCTGCATATAAGGGTGTTCCTTTATTTGCTGAGATGATTTTAATCCCTTATCTGATCCATGATGGGACCATATGACCAGAAGTGACAGCATGAGGGAGGGTGAAGTATGGTGAAATTAGCAGCTGAGAAGCCACTTCTTTCAGCAGCAGTGCCATTTTATACAAACTTAACGTAACCACAAAATTACAGCAGGATACCTAAAATTAAGGTACATTTAATACTATCCATCTCCAACCCTTTAGCAGCATAAATATGGCTGATAACAGATGCTTTTTGAAGTTTATATCACTACCTGAATTTCAAGCACTAGTGTATACAGACTGAAAATCAGCACTCATCAAATAAATACGAAGCATCCATCTGTGAAACTAGCAGCCAGTTTACTTTCTCACTGATTTGCTCTTTAAAATCTCAAATTACAAAGTTAAAAATTAAGGGCTACATTGTCACATAATATATCATTACCTTTCTCATTAAGCTGGCTGAACTCATTCTCTGTGCTGTAATAGAATCCACCTCTATCATTGATGGGTCCTTTTCTAATTGACTTTCATACTGCTGGAGAAAACAATAAATAAATAAATAAATAAAAATCAGTACATAACTCACGCAAATATTTGCTTTTTTTTTTTTTTTCCCCAGAAAAAAACACAGCTATTTCACTAACTTGTAAAAAGTTAGGCACTTCTACATGAATATCAAAATTAATTGGACAACAAGTAGAGAAATTTGAAAGGAATGATATGTACTTGATGCAGATGAGAAAATAAAGAGCAGCATATATCTGGAGAGCCTTAATTTGAGGCCATAAGGAATAGAAAAAGGTAAAAGCATGCAAAAGTATATCAACAGAAATTAATTTTATGGTGTTACTTTAATTTAGTTTGATTGCTGAGTTTGTCCCTAGATTGAATCTCCTGTGTAAGAGGAAGGAGAGCATGAAGAATCAAAAAAAAAAAAAAAAAAGTACTAAAAAATTAGATAAATGGGATATCTGCATGTGGAAGGAAAACAGAACACACAGAGACACTTGAGGATTTTTCTCAGACGTATTTCAGCTCGAGACAATACAAGTGAAGCCATAAGTTTAGTGTAATTTAACAAAAGTGAAAACCAGGGGCAGGGGGGAAACATTGGAGATGCAGATAAATACAACAACATTTATTAAGAAACAACGTTCATTGAAACGCTTTAGAGCTTTCTACAGACAACTTCCCTTCATAGTACTCTTACTGTCTCCTCATGCTAACTTTATCTTTGCAATAGTCCTGCAGAGACCTCACAGCTTCTTATCTTGAGGCTCATGTCTTCAGTATTTTTCCCTCTCTATGTTATGCTTAATTTCAAATGAATTTAAACAATAAAAAAAAAAAAAAAAAAAAAAAGACTGACAATCAAAACCAGGATCAGAAATAAAGACACTACGTACTATTAAAGGAAAACACAAACACTGTTTTGTGATCAAGTGAAAAGAAAAAAATAATCAGAAAAATGTTTCCTGGGGTTGAAGCAATATTTTAAGACATCAGTAGCAATGCTGTCCAAAACATTACAAACTTCTGCTTCACTTAAGGGAAATTCATTTCCTTTGCTAGAACTGCATAAGCAATAAGGTACTCTTTTGAATCAGCCAGGGCATCTGCCTGGCTTTCAGTATTATCTTGTGATAATGAACTAGATTTTGTTACATAAGCATATGAAGGAACTGGAAAGTTGGACTCAGACACTGAAAAAAAAAAGCTAGAGATGAAAGTTAATACAATTTGTCACACACAAGTTAAAACAAAGATTGTATCTGAAATATCAAATGTGTGAAATATTGTATGCGGTATCTTCTAACAAATGCAGGTACTTGTTGAAAACAGAAGTTTAACTACCTAATACTCCTAAATCACAACAGTTGGAAGCGTTTACAGTTTTTAATCTTTTATTCAGAAACAAAGATAAATCCTACTTGCAAGCATTTTAAGACAGAAGTATTTTAGAATTGTTTGTTCCTTGAACCCTGCATATCGTAAGAGAAAGCAAGATCAAGGCTGGAGTATTTTACTAATTGTTTCAATTTCAAAATACCTTTTTTATTTTTTTAAATTAACTTCTAGAATCTTTACATAATCAGAAATCTTGAGGGAATTTGTGTATCTTCCTGACTAGCACCAATAGCATAAGTCTATGCTAAGTTTGTGGCTTATCTGAACATAGATTACTTAGCAGGCCAAATTATAATGGTTTCTAGTTGTAAACAAATCCATACTTTTTTACTGGAATTATTTTTTAAAAGTAAAAGGATACATTAATGCTTGTTCTACTTCCTTTCTTCTTGTTTATTTTCTAAAATTTATATAAATATTTTTTTCTGCATCACAATAATTCAACTGCACTTTCCTGAGTAGTACCACAAATTTAAGATGATTCTTGCAAAAAGAATTTTCTTATTTTTTCCCCTTTTCACTGGATTATCAGATATCTACTGACCCAGTTAGAATTACTAGATGCATCAGACGTGTGGAGCACAGCTAATGAACCCTGCAGGATACATTGCACAAGACCAACACATCTCCCACATATCAGAATTCCAGCCAGTATTCTTGGGAGTTAATCTGCATGCAGCAATGAAGCAAATGTGTCCACATCATCCCAGAGTTAGAGCATGCATGAGCCATCTGTGCATCCTGGAAAGGAAGGGATCTTTATTCCAGTCACAGAAGTGACCTTTATACAACCACAGAAAAAGATACAGCTTGCTTCTTTTCATTTTAGGTCTCGTACCAGAATAATGATCTCAGACAACCGTTTGGCATTAGGATTTCAAATAACTATGATAACTATTTAAGTTTTATTCTCTTGCTTTGCTCTTATCTATTTTTTTAAAACATAATTAGCCTTAACTCTGTTGCTGTTATTTATAACCTTGAAGCCAAAGAACTTAAAAATAACTTAAGAAGAACTTAAAAATATTAAAATTTGAAAACTACACTATTAAATAGTATGATATTAATATTATTAATATAATATAAAATGAAAATATAAATTATAATAAATTAAAATACAATTAATATTATTAATATTATCAATATTAGTATAATATCAATATACTATTAAATATTAATACTATTAAAATATTAATAGTATCTACAAGTATCCTGGCTCCTAACACTGTGCAGACAGAGTATATTTTCTTCTAGAAAACATGTCAAAATGCTCTGTCAAAAAATGCTAGATATTACCATAACCAATCCCATCATACATGAATATTCAGGATATTTGGGATCAAGATGAATTTCTTTGGCCCGTTCAGTGAGTCTGGGTGTCACTGAACCATCCAACTCCAGTAGCTATTTCTGCATTTATATTTCTCAGCATGCTAAAATAAAACCATCTAGCATTAACTGCAGAGCATTTAAGGAAACAGATGTTTATTGTATCAGAAATCTCAGAAAGTGTATACAATATTCAGAATGAATTTCTAATTCTGACAGATTAACCAAGTTATCTGATTTAATCTTATAGTTGTAAAAAAATAACTCAAAAGCACCAAAAAACATTAAGTTATCACGCTAATGTTTCCCACAGTTCTAACCGATGAGAATCCTGATAAACTTTAAAAATATATGATTCATTACCACCTGCATCAAGCAGAATTTACTGGCTGAGAAACAGGTGCAACAGGAAAATGCTTCCTTCATCAGCTGCCCAGAATAAAGCATGCATGAGTTTGCCTAACATCAAAGGATAGAAGTTTCTCCTTTTCATCAAGGAAGAAAGGTCCGTGTAAGTCAAAATTTGTTGATGGAAGAGAAAAAGCCATTCAATCTTGTTTTGAAACATATTTGAAAGTTCAAGATTTGAAAGATCAGCTCCCCCTTTATCCCCAGCCCCACCCCCCCAAAAAAAAAAACAACAAACACAGCCATGCATCCACTTAATTTTAATTGGCCAAGGCAACTACACATCTTTCAAACAAAATTTATACTTCTCTACCTCACAAGCACCTCACCCATATTCTAACATCTGAACAGCTGATAAGCATGTGCCTAAGTATCTTCCTGAAGGAGGGTGCTTTCTTGAATTACAGGTAGCAGAGGAGAAACATTCAGTTCTCCAAAACCTTCTGAAAACATACATGTAATTCAAGTAAAAAAAAAAAAATCACTGGACAAGAACGTGTACATATCAGCATCAACAGCCTGTCCCTTCACTCCAGCAAATCAGTTTGTCTTTTGTTTTGTTTTCCCTAGAAAAGAGACATATCCCTTGGTATCATCTTTCAGGATGATGACAGTAGTGTTCAGATCCCAAAGCAGACTTCACCCACTTTTAAGCTATCACCTGCTGTAACTCACTATATGACATATTACTTATGACTTACTTCAAAAATAGTACTTTTAGGACTTGGACACCTCTACTACAAAATTATGTTGCTTCACTCCAAATAATTCTCTTTAAAATGTTAAGGAAAAAAAAAATCAGCAATCTCCTCAATCCATAGAGGTCTCTGGAAGAACCCCTAGAGGAAAAAACAGATTTAACCACCACAGACTACTGCAGAACTCCATGAACCAAGGAAAATGACTTGGATCAAAATCTTTAAAAAAATATTCAAAGAACTTCCTCATAGATGGAAGCTTTCATAAAAGACATTAGGCTGGAGGAGATATCCAGGTCATTAAAAAAATAAAACCTTATTATCAAAGGCGAATATGTCACAAACCCTTTCATTATATTACTCTGAAACCTTCTGAGTTCTGAGATTTTAAGCTCGCAGAAGTCATGTTTGTCAGCTTTAACACATTTGTGGACATTTGTTCTTGCACCAGTGTTGTCTTAATTTAAATTAGTCTTTCCTTCTCTGGGTTTCTCTTCCTGTTGCAATTAAATTAAGCAACTGTGGAAGAGCTGCATAGCTATGCCCCCATCACATGTTAGGAGCATGTGCTTCAATAAGCGATGCTAAAGAAGGGAAGGGGAAATCACAGCCACCTCAACCCCCTCAGTAAATTGTTCTCTGAACACAAATGCTCTCAGATTTTAGATTCTCAGAGACAAAGATTAAAAAAAAATAATAATATATTTTCAAGCAAAAGCCTTACACTACGAAAAATTAGTCATCCAACAAAATAACTGCTACTAACACAGGGCTGGATAACATTTAATATTGCTTTGGATTCCTAAGTTTTCAAGAAGTAAATCAAAGGAGGTTGCACACATCTTAGAAACAAATCAATCAACTTGTGCCAGGCTACAAATTTCTTCACAGCTTTGGATTGCTTTTTAAGAATACAGGCAAACTGATGTTGTATAATACCACTGGACACTTTCAAAAGTGTAATCCTATTAACTTCAGCATGTGTCCTTCAGCACAACCTGTAAAAGCATAAAGTGACTTAGTAACTACTAAGGCAGGTAATATCCATGGGATTCTATACTACAAGGGCTCTTGCTTGCAATACTGGGGCTACAGAGTTCAAAACGCGTTTAATAGGCCAAAGCTACAGATCATATCTTCAGATTACAACATAAACACAATGAATTCAGACAACGTGCATGTCAGGAACTTC